AAGTATGCCGCTAAGAAATGACAATGCTTAAATGTAAATTGCACTATAATGAATTGTCCATAATTACATGATTTATGTATTAAAACAAACACATATTTTGACTGAGATTTTTGTGTTATGAAAAAATATTTACTTGAAAAATTTTATATTTATACAAAAATTAACATATGATTGATAAAAAGATTAAATTGCTATTTTATCTAATTCTATTTTATACATTAAGAACAATTTAATAGTTATGATATAAAATTTAGAAAATATTTATGAAAATTTCTTCACAAATACATCATATTCAATCTTTAAAATAAAAAAAAAAAAAAGATGTAAAAGAGCAGCAAAAATCATTCAAACAAATAAAAACAAAAAAAATCATGTAATTGAGAGGTAAATTTAGCAAAAAAATAAAATTTCAAAGAAAATTAACCCAAAAAAATCATGTAAATAAGCATAGAAGATAAAGTATTACTCAGATTTTTTTAAAACACTAATTTTTCATTGTCAACCTCTCTAATCATATAAATTTCTCCCCCATCCCTTCTAAAGAGGTGTCTCTTTTCCACCAGATCCTTTTCCATTATAAATAGGTATTAATGAGAGTTTTTTTCTCCCCTTTTGTCATTTTTCTACACACCTTTTTTATGCTTTTTTTGGTATTTTTATTTATTTTTTTCATTCACCAAACTTTTGGTTACCTATGAGCATCATCTTACTTTCCTGTGTTTTGTTGTCAACTTTATTATAAATTTATTCACTAAGACTTGGAAAGAATTCTTTTATGATCTAGAGTATAAAAAAGAAGTTTGTAACTTATTTAGAAATTTATAGTTTATTGACTTAATTAATAAATTTATAGAATTATTTGATAAACATAAAACTAGCTTTAACCTATGTTGATAAATACATATGTTAATTTTTCTAATCTTTTATTCTCTTCACTTTCACAATAATTTTATTCAATTTTTTCTCTATTTTTTATTTTTTCTCTTTTATATAAATTTATTTTATATTAAAAAATACATTGATTAAAATATTTCATGTTTAAAAACTATATAAAATATTATTTTTATATATTTAATTAATTAATTAATTATAAATAAAATAAATAATAATTCATTTTAATATTATGTTAATATAATATTATATATCTTTTTAAGTCATTTAAAATAAATCAAGCTTGTTTAATTTATATTTTTTTAGGTGAATTTACTACGATGTATAATGATTATATGTTAAACCATTGAATTGCCGTTTTCTTTTCTATTGTTTAGATAATCTTTTTTTTTAAAATTTAATCAACCCATATTTGACTTATTTTTATTATTTATTAATAATAAATATTAAAAAAATTGAAAATGTTAATTATTTTGTTAAAATTAATTACCAAATTTATTTATTTACCCTTTATTGATGAATTCTTTTTCTTCTTAACCTATTCAAGTAGGATAAATATTTGAAATAATAAAAGGATATTAACAAAAGAATAACAATTAACATTCTCTTGAAATTTTATATAGGTAAATAGAGAATAACAAAATTCTTTATTTTAGATAAATAATAATAGAATATTTTTTATTATTTTTAAAAATTTTAATTCAATAAAATGAATAGTATTACATATATAAATGATATTATATATATATATATATATATATATGAATAAAAATAGATGAAGAAAAGCCTGTAGTTATAATAAGAATATGGATTAGAAGAAAAGGAGAGAAAAAAGTGAGAGAACATCACATGAAACAAGGGCTGATTTAGTAATGTGTTGCCTTTTCTTTTTATAACAATGCCATAAATACTTTTCTTAAATATTATACGAATTAGACTATGATTTCATGAGAGAAGATTTTTTTAATATTCTATCGATTTATCTCTTTTCAAAGAGTACGATAACAAATTTTTAATACATGCAAGCCGCTTCAGACGTCCCATTACAAAACATCGTATTAATTGTTAAAATATCTTTTATAATTTGGGGTTTTTATTTTTTTCTTAAAATTTTGTTTTGAAATTTTTTGGTTTAATTTATTTGAAAATTTTATTTTGTTAATTTCGAGAGAAATATTTTTCAAAAGTATTTATTTTCTGAAAATTAATCATTTTCAAACAGGTGTAAAGTTACAATTTAATATAATTTTTTTTTATTTTGATGTAAAATTTTCATTTTATTCAACTTAAATATCTTCTTAAATCATATTTAACCTTCGTATTTGTGATGAAAATTACCGCAAGCTTGGCATTTATCAATAAATGTGCAATTGTACTTGAAAACACTATCTCTAGCTCTTGATTAAATATTAGAATATCCTTTTCAACCTAACTAATCTTAGGTAAGCCTTTTTATTTAGCCCCCCTCTCTTACGGTCCAAAATGAAGCTAAATGTTGAATCATTGTTTTAAAAATATAAAAAATCTAACACAACTTTTACCTTCTAATATTTTATAAAGATTGGATTTTGTAATTGATTTTTTAACTCAAAAATAATATTAAGAACTAGAATCAATTATGTCATGAAAACTAGTACAATGAAAGAGAATGCAAGAAATGCCAAAACATGGGTGAAAGAGAGAATGATCTAAGAAAAATATACTCTCACTGAGAAATGGTCCTTCAAAAGTTACAAGGATCATTGGACTTGTGATAACTTAAATCTAACAGTTTTCAGATAGTAGAAATTTGCATGATTCATATACAGTAAGCCCAAGCTAATAATTAATGATATTGGGGTTCACTTGATCAATTTTCCATTGAGTCAACTATGTCATTTGAGTCCACCAACATCTAAATAAACACATAATGCTAAAGAACTTGTAGAGTATTGAGAGGTTTTGGGGTCCTGAATCTTGGATCTTACCTCACAGGAGATCTTCTGTGCCTTCACTGTAACTCACTCGCATCCCAGTTCTTAGATCCAACCTCTATATAAAAAACACTCGTATGCCATTTATATATCATGTTTGCACGCACTGATCATCAATATGAATGGTTATGTATTTATATTTCCACAAGTCTATTTAATTTTTGAATCAAATATAGTAGTTCGATTTTCTGTTCTTAGTTACAATTGGAAACGATTATAGTCCGAAAACATATAATCACTGAGAATTATTTTCTAACGTTGAGATCGTTGTTAATTAGGAATGAATCACTACCGAAAATTGCTTTTCCAGTTACCGTGATCTCCCGGGTTAGCATTCATTAGGTAGACACTTTAGAAAATGTATATTTGATTCAAATCGTTTTGAAGTGTTAAAACGACCGAAAAATGATAAAAATTGAATAAATCATCAATTGAAAAATTTTAAAATAATAAAAAAAGTATTTTCTTTCACCTACCGGACCCTTTAATATTTATAATGTAAATATACATGGAATGTATAGAAAGGTTATTAGTCAAACCCTTTTGTGTTGTACTCAAAACACTTTATCATCTTACTATTTATGTTACCACCAAAGTTGTGTTTTGAAATTATTTACTAATGAGTAATGACTTTCACTATAAACTATTGAAGAAAAAAAAAATATAGTACTATATTATAAAAATTAAATATAAATAACTACATAAGTAAGAAAGGCATTTCTTTAAGTAATGGATGTCGTGCACCCTTTAGCCAGCCAGCTGTGTTTAAAACTTTAAATATCAATTCCTTTTTTAGTGAGTTTATTTATTTCTAATAATATAACAGGGTTAAAGCTAAAGAAATTTGGGCTTGGTGGGATAAATTATTGGAGTTATTATACGTTTACACCCAATTCTTCAGTTACTTTTTACTTTTCCATTATTCTGAAATTTATTTATTTAGAGTACAAATATTTTTCAGTGAAGATAATTTTGATCTGCCCGATAGAATACACATCTTTCCCTAAAGACGATCATATTAATATATTTTTTTAAGTATAAATAAAAAGGGTGACGTAGTTAAAAAAAAAAATCTGTAATGTAAAAAAGTAAAAATCTCTCCAAGTTCAGTAAGGGATAGTTTTAGTTTTGAAATGAAAAAATATTATAATACAAAAAGATAAATTAAAAAAAATCGCTGAGACATACATGTATGTTCTTGGTTTGAAATGTTAAAGTTTTTACAGTAACGGTGTATTAAATTAAATTATTTTTAAATCATGATAAAAGGCATACTAATATCAAACTACAGGAAAGAAATATTTCAATGAGTTATACAAGTTTATATTAATAAGTATTAATATATAAATCACGAGTAATTGCATCAATTTAAAAAAAATAAGAAAACATAAAAGCACATTAATATTTAAATTGCTAGTACAAACATACACCTAAACCAAGAAAGGCCAAGTATACGTAAAAATATAATAAAAGTAATTAAACTATATTTTACAACCAAAAAATAATAAATACACTTTCACTATAAAGTTATTAGACCTAATAATCTTTTATCAAGGCTTGTTTTCAAATATCTATTCAAAATCTAGATTAAAAATCTAATTATGTATGCAATAAACATCGTGATTATGCATATAAACCGTACAACATAGAAACTTTACATAAAAAATATTAATATCTAAATCACAAAAGTGAATGTAAATGTATAAAAGAAAATTTTACAAGGTATTTATATGCAAACAGTTGCATAATTATACACAAAAATATAATGAAACTAATTATTAAAAATAAGTTTATTTTATCATAAAATTATTAAACAAAATAATCTTTTCCTCAAAAAGTTATGCATTTTTAAGAAAAATGTACCCAAAATGTATATGAAGAATAATTATTTTTAATTAGACACTTCAAAGTATTAAGTAAAAATTTATCATTTTCAACTTTATATATTGCAAGATTTATATTTTTCCAAGAGTTAAATCATTTGGGGAAGGCATTATTAGTTAAATCATACAGTATAATTTGTCAAACATATGACCGAACTTGGAGAATTGTTGTAAATATAAATGCTAAAAAAATAACATGCCTAAATTAGGCAATCATCTGCTAAAGCAAATTGCTGAAGTCAAGGATAATGTGAGCCAAATGAAAAATAAATAAATAAATCAATAACACTAAATGTTTATACATTAAAAATGGAATAGAAGAAATTGGAAAAGATAAATTCTACTGTCCCCGCATCGCACGGATATCCCATAGTGTTCTATCTATATACATATTATTATCAATTTTTCTAATGCGTGCCTTTGGACACATGATAAGAAATAAATAGTAAGTTTTTATTGAAAATTGTGGCAATTAATGTTATCAATGTATTGAATTTAGTGATATTATATGATTTCCAATAAAAAAACTTACTATTTATAGGTTCTTATTATATAACCATGGCACATGTTAGAAAAACCATATAAAGAAATATCGATAAACAAAACTTCAATTTCATCTTCACCCCAACTAATGGAGAATTTTGTCACTCAAGGAACCAGTTGTTTCCATCCTGCAACGAATTCAATGTTAGATAAATTCGGATCGAATCAATCAGATTTAATACCAGATAGCGTACCCATTTTAGCTTTACCTGTGACATGCTTATATTGCTAAGACCGTAGCAGACAACTTAAGAGACTAAAAGCTTCTAGACAAGAAAATGATCAATCATATGCTGTATAACATCTGCACCTTCTTTATGAGTGATTTGGTCTTTGACCTGTAAAATAGTCATTGTAAAGGGCTAAGAAAAACATATGCAGGTGAAACGATGTATGCAAAGAAATACACTATCGCGTCTGACTTGAAAATGTGCCATATCAGTAGGGTTTTAACTTAAATAGCGACGAATGATGATAAAGCCATATATCAAAATTTAAAGGATACGCACAAAGATACACATGGTGATGGCAAGGGCAGTGCAAGACACAGACCTGAATGATACTATGAGCAGCAAATCTATGTTTGCTATTGCGGAAGCTAACATCTACCTTTTCCCATGACACACGAGATAAGCCTTTTACAAGTTCCTCTGCGAGTGTTCATTCGAGTTAGAAATCTTACAACTTAAGAGAGAAGATAAAACAAGTAGTCCAAATTCAAGCAATGCATACAGGGCAAGATCAACAATGACAATAAGAACCAAGTCTAATCCTGTTAGATTGGGCTAGCTACAAATGTATCATGGTCTAACGGCACCCTAAGAAACATGCTCTCCTTTTAATTGGGGTTGTTTAATGCATACAAATTTAAATTTTGTATTTAGAGAAAATAATTATTTGAAGCACAAGATTATGAATTTCTTTTAAAAAAAATAATCATTGGCGTTGTTAGAATACCTAAACTTTTCTCACATATCTTGATTGTGTCTTTAGAGTAATTTATAGTATCTTATATGATCTCTTCAGAGTGGTTTCATATTTCATTATATTTCCTGTTTTATTTTGTTATTTGATTAGGATTAGTAGTCTATTGCTACAATAAATAGGGGTTAGTGCATTGTTTTTTATTAACATATCATCACACATCATAGATAAAATATTATATAGCAATTTAGCATTATTCAAGTCTGTTTTTTTCCCTTCTATCCCAACCTAAATCACTATAACTTCAATAAATATGATGTCTATCTGAAGATGATGGACAGAAAAATCCCAAAATTGAGTAAACACGCAACAGCAGTATTAGATTAATAGTATCTATAGTATTCTAGACAATATTGCAACTGAAAAGAAAAGTAAACATTTAATGAACAAAAGGATTAAGTTAATAATATCACTAGTATTCTACAGAAAACTCATTGGACAAAGGTTATATAGAAGCGGAAAAGCAAAGGAAGGTCAACCATGTAAGAGCACATGGTGTTGTGGAACACACAAAAGCTACAAAAAGTGAACTTCCAAGACCAAGAGACCATAGAGTTTTTAAAATGTACAAGACAACAACTTCAGATAAGGGGAAAACTACGTTGCATTAATTGAAAAAAATTAAAATGCAAACCTTCTATCTTGTCAGAGCTGTTATCTTCCACTATGTCACACTTCTCAGCGTCACAAGCCTTGCAGTGCTCTTCATATACAACATGTGGATATTTTTCATTGGCGGTATCCTTCCACTGCCAGCCAAATATTTTTACATCATCATATGGTAACAAATGATCCATTAAATGAGGCAGCATTAAAAATTTTACGTCAATAAATATACCTTAGGAAGTTCATTATCAATTCTAATGGATGATGTTCTCCAGCCAACAATATCTAAATTTTTATAAAGGAAAACCAAATAAAAAAAAAATGCAATGAAGAAAGCTGAATGCACCTAGAATTAGTAGAAAGAAGAAACGAAAAAGAAGGATACGATCATAGTCTACATTTGAATATGCAACCCGTCGTTTAAAAGTGCGCAATGCAGACCTGCACAAAGCAAGTCAGTGTCATTCAGAAGATATTGATCCTTTGAAGGAATCAACCTCAACAAATGCCTTACACAAAAAGAAGTTAAGAGGTAAGCAAAAAACATACATAAAATACAAATCACCATAGTCTTCAACCAGGCGTTCAAGCAAAGGAGGTTTTCCTTCATCATCATCAGTAAGGAAAAGATGCCGACCTGTTCTTCTAAAAATCAAATGGATAACACAACTTGCAACCTTCTCAAAAGCAGCTACCCCAAAAAGAAATGGAACCTGAAATTCAAAACTCAGTTACATGTTTAAATACCCAAATAGCTGAAGGTGATACAATCTTCTTTCATGAAAATATCCCTGATTGATGAGACACAGCCACACAAACGGATATCCCACTTGTGAATTTAATATAACATGAATACTTTGATGCAAATAAAAATGTTTTCACAACAACCTATCAGAAGAAATCCATAAATAATTATTCACTATAAAAGACAAATGTGACGAAGAAAGAAAGAGAAGGCAAAGAGGAAGAAATTATTTATACTGGAAAAGTTTAATGAGACTCCAACAGCATCAGGTTCATTTTGAACCTTCTTACCAAAGATGACGTAGACACGGCTCTCACACCAACACTGGTGCAACACGGCTTGGACACATGTCAGATACTATTCTGCAGGTGTTCAAATTTAAAAACATTTTTTTGCGGCTCGACACAGCTTGACAGGGTGGGACACGGCTTTGACACTAGAATTTACATTTTAAAAAAAAATTGGTTAAAACTTAAAAAGGTTAAAAAACTTCATCTGCACAAAAGTTCCCTCCTTTCCTTCCTTCCTTCATTCCTTTACATATTTCTGTTTTTGCATCGCAGTGTAGTGTTTCCTCTGCTCGCCATTCACCATTCTCCAGGCTTGTCATTCTTTGGTCAACTTTCATATCTATTCTTTGTCATATGAAACTTTGGCTCTTAGTATTTTTTTGTTAGGGTATTATATGAAAATTTTAAAGTCTAACAACTTTGCCTTGAGAAGATAAATAAACAAATCTTAATTTTTAATTTAAATTTTTGTCAAGTTAATCATATATATATATATATATATATATATATATATATATATATATATATATATATATATATATATGTCCGATGTCCGTGTCAGAGTCGGTGCTTCATAGGTTTTGTAGCATATGGGTAGTTGTGGGATGATGGTCAAGATTTTGTGAAATTGACGGATAGTTAAGTCTAGAGTTATCAAGCAAAGTAAACAGATCTACAATTAAACTGAAAAATAAAAAATAGAAGAAATATTTTTAAATGAGATTTTGAGATCTAAAAATATGTCAAATGGAGGGAGGAACAATACTTTGGTTCTTATGTACAAGAACAAAGATGATAATCAAAATTATGGAAACTATAAAAGGATTAAACTATTAGTCACACTGTGAAATTGTGGGGAAATGTGATTGAACATAAAATAAGGAAAAAACTGAAATTGCACAAGGTCGGTCTACAATAGAAGATATATATCTTTTACAAAAGATGATGGAAAAATATCGTTACAAAGAAAAGAACTTACATATGATTTTTATTAATTTAAAAAAAAACATATGATCAGGTACTAAGAGAAGTGTCATGGAAGGCTATAGAAACTAAAATGGTCTGTGTAGTATATATTTAAGCTATACAAAACATGTATGCGGAGGTAACTACATATATGAGAACTTTTTGAGGCATATCTATGGACTTTCCAATAGGAATAGGTTTACATTAAGGTTTTACTTTGAACTCTTACTTGTTTAATCTACTCTTAAATATGCTTACAAGTGACATACAAAATATTATCTCTCAATACATGCTTTTTGCATATGATATAATGTTGGTTGAGAATTTGAAATGAGGTAATGTTAAACTCTAGCTCTAGATGGAGACTTTATAGTCTAAGGATTTCTGCTTAAGTAGAAGTAAGATTGAGCATATGCATTATAAGTTTAGCAAAAAACAAGATAAAGATCATGTATTGAAAGTTAAATTGAAGATGATATTATACCACAAGTTTTTAGTTTCATATTATTGGAATCGAATATGCAAAATGATGGAATAATTAATGAAAATGTTACTCACAATGGTGGTAAAAGTGCAAAAAGACATTATGAGTTATTTGTAACCATAAAGTACATATCAAACTGAAAGAAAAGTTCTACTGTACTGCAATACAATCATCCATCTTATATGGTAGAGAATGTTGAGGTTTAAAAGAACGACACGACAAGAAAGTGAGTGGCAGAAATGAGAATGCTAATGTGGATGAGTGGATACACAAAAAAAGTTAGGATACGAAATGATAAATTACAGAAAAATATTGGAGTAGCACCTATAGTGGAAAAAATGACTGAAAATCATTTAAAGTGGTTTGGTCATATGCAAAAAATACTTTGGGAGACACTAGTAAGGAGAATGGATTGAATGACTCTTAGTCCAGTAAGAAAGGGTCGAAAAAGATGCAAAAGAACCGTAGACGAAGTTATTGAAAGAGACCTTTTAACTAACTATATTTCTAAAAATTTGATTTTTGATCGAATTCAATGAGGTCATGTAATCTATGTAGCCAACCTCATAGTGGGATAAGGCGTGGTTGTTGTAATTCTTGTTGTAGAAGAAAGGCCTAACTATTGCACAAGACGCACCCCTCAAAGCTTCAAAATTAGTTATACATAAGACAAGACATTAATTACTTGAACCTCCAGCCTGTTGATTAAAATCAACTTCCCTCTTGCGTAATAAAGTACTGTATGTATTGCATATGTGATCATTAAGCCTTGGCTTCCTTGACAGGTCCTAAGTTGCCTACTTAATGTATATACAATGAATCTGGACACCAAGCTAAGTTAGATTAATTCCATTGCCAACAGAACAGTTTCTGTAATCTCTTCCCTATCATTAGATTTGGGCAACAAAAGAAAATTTTAGGGTAAGATATCGATACCTGCTTATTGCCCCTTGACCCTAGATGTGGTGTGGCAACAGTTATGAAATTCATAGCCTCCAAGCCAGCTATTGTACCCACCAAGTCCAACTTACATTCGTTATTGCATGAGTCCTCCATGGATCCTTTTTCAGGTGGCCTATACAGCCTTCCAATAGCATATCTTGCTATTAAACCTCCCACTGAGTGTGCGATAAAGGAGATCTTGCGCATATTTGGCTTGGTTTTAATCACTTCAAGAACCTAATAGTTAAATTTGTTGTTAATAGCAATGATTTTGCATCCAATACGTTATGCAGGTACATAAAGATAGTCAGGACCTCCAATATATTTTTCCGGTTAACACAGATTCAATTGAACCTAAAATAAGACATGAAAATTATCCATCTCCAATATACATTCGAAAATGACAACAAACTTTAGGTTCTCTTCCCCCAAATGTAGAGAGTCTCAGATTTTCCCATCCAAAACATGGGAACATTATATCCCTTCAGAATGGGAAGACCTCATTTGTTTTCATATTCATTACTCATGAACATGTTATGAAAGCTACATGTGAAAGACCTTATTGTCTGTCATAAATATGATAACATTTATAACATCCAATATAATGACAAGATCAGGTAATATAATCTATTGATAATGAATCTAGAGAAATTAGAGAAAATTGACTTTCGCATGATATGCTGATTCATAAAACAGGTATCCTATATAGTCAAATACTAACCTCCTCTGCCAATCGCTCTCCCATTACATCCACACCATCTAGAGTCTGCATAGCCACGTTTCGTTCGCTGCCTGAGAAAGAAGATGGGGAAAAGTAAAAGCAAGCACAATATAAAAAAATTAAATCCCACTCTAGTATGCTGAAAAAAATGGTGCATTAAAGAGTCAAGACCTAAGAAATTAACATTCAAACATAATACAAATTATATAATCAATAATCAAAAACTAAGGTAACATTATTTTGAATATTTTCTCAATGAAAGACATCTTCTCTATAATCAATGAAAGAAAAAGGAGCTGCAAGTATATCATGGGATAAAACGCGTTAAACATTCAAGAAGTTATATCACAGTTGAGTTTGCCATAGCCATGCTATTATTCATTAAACAATCAGATAAATGCAAATGAAAGACAAGTAAAATCACCCTGAATGGAAGGCATTGAGGTATGTCTAGCTCAAAGCCAGCAATCCTAAGATGTCTGATTATGCTCTAGCTGAGAAATATAACTACTTCAATGAGAAACTAAGTACAACTAAAAGAGGATTTATACAATAAATCATCCATCAAAATCTTCTAGTCAGACAGTTTCATACTATCAACATCCCATGTTGACTACAAATATGGCCAAAGTATAGCTTACAAAGGTTAAGGCAATCATTATCTTACACGCAAGCTTTTGGAATTGAATTAGGCCAAGTCCAAATTCAAGATGATACCAAGAGTCTATTGCAAATCCAATATTGAACTACCCTTGATTGAAAAAAAATAAATAAAGCTTCACAGGATTTCCCAATGCAACTGATAAAAACAAATTATATATGTTGTGTTATTAATCAGATTATGCAGTAAAACTAAATAAAAGAGCTCAAGTTCTACAATGCTAAGGTAGGTTTCCCAGAGTAAACTCTCCTTAGCAAGACCCACAATATTCTTGCCTACCTCACTCCCACTCCCTTCTCTCCCCATATACCAGAATTCCCTTATTTTCTGGATTCCTTCCAAGTCACCTCCCCTCTAACTAACTAATCATTATTCCCTGGCCCCATTTTCTATCTCCTAGTATAGACTCTCCACACATTGGACTTTTGTAAAACTGTCCCTTCACCAGACACAGGCCCATCACCCTTCCTTATAGTATTTGCCATATTTGGCACCCTATCATTGCCCTCCCCCCCCCCCTCCTTTTTCAGCAACAGCCTTGTCCTCAAGGCAAAATGAAGGAAACTAACTTTGGAGCAGTGCTTCATCCTCCCACGTTGTCTCATCCCTAGTTCTAGCTTTCCACTTCACCAACCATTGCTTATTTCTCTGATCTCCTTGAACAATTTCTCTTGATGCCAACACAGTTTCTAGTTCTTCAATTTCATCCAATTCTGCTGGCAGAGAAGATTCCACAGCATAAATTCCCACAGCTTTTTTTAATTATGAAATGTGAAACACAGGGTGTACTTTAGCTATATCAAGCAACTTCACTTTATAAGAGACAGCTCCTAACTTAGCTATTATAGGAAAAGGACCATAATAGCGTGGAGCGAGTTTGGGATTAATCTGCCGTGCTACCGTTTGCTGTCTATGAGGGCGCAGCTTAATGAATACCCACTCACCCACATCAAACTCAAGAAATCTGCGCTTTTTATCAGCAAATTTTTTCATTTGATGTTGTGCACGAAGTAAATGATACTGCAGTTGTTGCAAAGCCTCATCTCTATCCACCAATTCTGCTGCCACAGCCTCAACACGTGTCTCCCCATGTGAAAACCGCACCAATGTGGGTGGTTTCCTCCCGTAAACCACTTCAAAAGGGGTCGTACCAGTGGATACATGAAATGTGGTATTATACCATAATTCTGCCCATAGAACTCAATGAGACCAAGTTTTAGGTTGGTATGAGACAAAACATCTGAGATAGGCTTCCAAGCACCTATTCACTACTTCAGTTTGGCTATCGGTCTCCGGATGATATGAAGAGCTCATCTTTAACTTGGTCCCTTGTAAACGAAATAATTCCTGCCAAAACAAACTCATGAACAAAGGGTTCCTGTCACTAACAATAAATTGCGGTATACCATGAAGCCGCACCACCTCTTTAGCAAAAACTTCTGCTACCTTCCTTGCTATATAAGGATGCTTAAGAAGGATAAAATGCCCATATTTAGACAATCTGTCCACCACCACCAATATAGCTTCAAACCCCTTTGATTTCGGCAATCCCATAATAAAGTCAAGAGAAATATCCTCCCAATTTCTATTTGGGATTGGCAACGACTGTAATAAACCGGCTGGAGAGGTTGCAACATATTTTTGGCGTTGACACACATCACACTGCTTGACAAAGTCCTACACCATCTTCTTCATACCCACCCAATATAAATTGGCAGCAATTCTTTTATATGTCGTCAAAAACCTCGAATGCCCCCCTACTGGAGAGGAGTGAAATCCAACCAAAATCGTAGGTATCAAAGTCGAATTTGCTGGTAGCACCAACCTGCCCTTGTATAACAATATTCCTCGCTGTAAACTGAACCCAGGACGAGAGTGAGCATCCTACAGTAAGTCGTGCTCCACCTGTTTCAAGAAAGGGTCAGATTCTTTTTCCTTGCTAATGTGTTGGTCCTGTAACCAAACGGGAAAAGAAGCTGCTTTAACTTGCCATCTTCAAACATTCTAGACAAGGAGTCCACAGCTTTATTCTTAGGACCAGGCTTGTATATAATCTCAAACTGATACCCCAAGAGTTTTGCTAGCCAATTTTGTTGGGCCACAGTGGTGATACGCTACTGTAAAAGATGCCCCAAACTCTCTTGATCTAAATACACTTTGAAACTTCTACCCAACAAATAAAGCCTCCAATGTTGCTCAGCTAGCACAAGTGCCATTAACTCCTTTTCATAGGTTGATTTGCTAATATTGTTATGTGACCTATGAAGCACCGACATTGCAAGAGGAAGAAGAGTCGGGTGTCGAACACGGATACAACACCGACACCCCTGGACACTGCTCGGACACGTCTCAGACACTTTTTTACAAGTGTCCAAAAATCAAAATACTTTTTTTGGCTGCGACACGGTGCAGATACGGCACAGACACAGCTGCGGATGGAAGACACAGTTTCAAAGCAACTCACTCCAGAAAAAATTCAAAATAAAAAAAAGTTAAAAGTTAAAAATGTTAAAAAATCTTTGAAACTCCCTCCTTTCTTCCTATTCCTTCTTCTGCACGTTTGCTTTCTATTCTCTGTGTTGGGTTTCTCTGCACATTCTTCTCATCCTCGACTTACCGTTTAAGTTTTTTCATCACTCCTCATCATTTGTTCCTCCAAGCAACATTAATTTTTGTCGTTTTTACTGGTAAAGTGTTTTTTGTTTTTTTTTTGCTATTCATCTTTGTTTCATTTTTTTTATTTCTATTCAGTATTTCCGTTTCTGTTTCCGTTTCCTTTTCTTTTTCTATTTTTGTTCCCAAGTTTATATTTATGTTCCACTGTTTCATTTTTTTATTTTTATTGTATTTTAATATAAATTTTTTATGGTAATTACATTTAATTTTTTTATATATTTATATATAAGTGGTGTCCTGGTGTCTTATATTTTAGACATCAGCCGTGTCCCAGTGTCCGTGTCGTGTCCGGTGTCCATGTCAAAGTCGGTGCTTCATAGTATGCGACAAAGCTTTACTGAAATATGCTATTGGCTGTCTATTTTGCATCAATACTGCCCCAATGCCCATTCTGAACGCATCACATTCAATTTCAAAAGGTAAAGAAAAATTGGGTAAAGCCAAAAGAAGAGTATTAGTCATGACCTTTTTTAATTCTTCAAAAGCTGCTAATGCTTCAAGACTCCAATTAAACCCCTCTTTCTTGGTCAACTCAGTAAGAGGTTTCGCTATCTTACCATATCCAGCAATAAATTTCCTGTAATACCCAGTCAAACCCAAAAATCTCCTTACTCCTTTAACATTCCGAGGAAATGGCCAATCAACTACACACTGAATTTTTGCAGGGTCCACTGATACCCCATGTTTAGAAATCAAATGGCCCAAATATTCTACTTGTCTACTCCCAAAAATGCACTTCTTTTGATTCATCACAAAGTGCTGACTATGTAACAACTCCAAAACAGCATGTAAATGCTCTACATGTTCTGTCCAGCTTTTGCTATAAATCAATATGTTGTCAAAGAAAACTAAGACAAATTTTCTTAATAAAGGCTTAAAACACTTGGTTCATTGTAGACTGAAAAGTTGCCGGGACATTTGTTAATTCAAACGGCATTACCAAGTACTCGTAGTGGCCCTCATGAGTTCAAAACGCCATTGCACTACCCGGTATAACATTGTACTGCTATGTTAACCTGTTTTACTGTGTTTAAAGACAACTTGCACCCACATTGGGCATGGATTTCTAGACATACTCTACTTTGCAAATACTTTGATATCCATAAACCATAGAGACCAAGGTTGTCAAATTGGGATTCAAATTGCAAATTAGAAGACTTGTTTTTCAAATTGTGGCTCAAACCGTGTCGCAAATCATATGATTCACATCAAAACTTAATATAACATATATAACTAACAAAGTAATACAAAAGCACAAATTCATTATCAATAATTAAAAAGGATAAATCTAAGAGCATTTTAACCTAATGAAACATCTCTATATTAGTAGCATTTTGAAGTCAAATAGTTCATTATATAGCCAACAAAGTGTCATGTACACTTCAAAATAACACAGCACAGAGCACAACACAGGACAAAGTTGAGAAATACTAGAATAAAGAAGGAAACCAGCAGGGAATATTAAGAATTAAGAGAAGTAAGAAAGAAATAAAAAGAAGTTAGCACAAAGTTTGTGTTGAGTAGGGTAGAGGCAGTCAGCCCTCAACAGCAAAATGTGGGGGGACCAACTGACCAGCCACAAGCAATGAAATAGTATAAGAAGCAGAGAACACACAGCATGTGCTGGGTGGGGTAAGAGGTAGAAGGTGGAAATTTTGAAAATTGAAGTTCCTTTTGGTTAATATTTGGTCTGGGCATCAATGAAGGGTAAGAATCGGCTGTTTTCTCCCAAACACAAAAGGAAATAAATAAAAAAGGTACTTTTAGGGGGGTTTTCACACTGCATTGCACACAACTGGACTTGTATTTCCACATAACCTGTGAGCACAAAGAATTGTGTGTTTGTTGGAACCACAATTCATGTGAATCAAGTGGCATTCCTGTGATACAGATTGTGATTCAATCCCATTTTTGATTTGCCGTGTGATTTGCATCGCTGGGAGGGAAACTCATGTTGAATCACATGTATCATATTGTGAATTGTACAATACTAACTACACCAATAGAGACTAATAAAGGGTGGAGTAGATATTTCAAAACAGAGACACTGTCCATTTGTATAAAATTTAAGATAGGAATTAGGCAGTGTGGATTAGATATTTTAAAAACACAAAAAAGTATCATCATTTTATATTAATATTATTATACCAAAAAAATAATTCTGAATCATAACTGACACAGTATATAGTCAATTCATTTAGAATCAGGAAATTTTACTAATAAAAAAAACCAACAAACACTCACTATTATCACACCCAATAAAATAAGCCTCATTTAAAGATGACAACTACATAAAAAGTTGTCTCATTCTTCTCTAGAAATGCCCTAATAAGGGAGGAAAGTAAAGAAAATGGCATACAGGTGACGTTGCTGATAACCTTCAGACAGGGGGCAGCTATATGTTTGTTACACAGGAACATGAAAACACAACATAGTTATCTTTCATAAATGACTACAAATATGAACATTTTATGCAATGAATAATGATGTAATATTTTAATAAGAATTGATATTCAGGCAAAAAAGCTGCAAGCATTTTAGTATCAAGATTACTAGTAATATATAGAAAGCAAGCTTCCCTCTTAATGCAAGAACATCCTCAGCTTCTCAGTTACATTCTTACTTAAGCACACAGAACTAGTTCTATGTACAGACACACACATAAATAAATAGAGAATGCAGAGGCCATGATATTCCTCCAGGATAACCAAAGACAACTCTTTTTAAGTTAAAAAACTAAACACTCCATTATTGACAATATTTCAAATTTCTCAGCACCTTTAACAACATCTATATAATTTGATTAGTGAATCATTAAAAGTTCACCATACCAAGACTAGTTATTCTAAATTGATAAGACACCACGTCCAAACTGTCTGATATCAAGGGACAGATGCAGCATTACAGCCACAGTAGCTTATAAGTACGAACTTCAAAAGAGATCAAAGGCAGACCGCAGACATACTATTGGTAAACTCTAGCTACTTACTTCAAAAGCAAAACAGCAATAACACAAATAAAATAATCTCTAACAAGTTACAACTACAATCTCGTGTTATGACCAAAGGGTACAATCGCACAAGCTTTTCAAAGAAAAGAAAATCAGAAAACAATGGTCCTTACAGTGAACAAAAACTTTATCAGGAAGCTCCTTAACAAACTGCTCCGCCGCAAACTTCCAATCCGTTGTACTGCCAAAACAAACAGTCAACAGGCGAATCAAGAGAAAAAAAATAAAAAATCAGTTAATTCCAACAAAATCCACACAAAGGAATCAGTTAACAAGAGTCAATTCAAACAATCACTTCACGAATACTCAAAATCCCACCCGAATAACAACACTCCAAGCCTTAAGATCAAAACAAACCCACAGCATCAGCATTTCATCAAAATCCAAACAAAGGAACCGTCAAATACCTTCCGAGAATTCCATTGACCATGACCACAAGATGATCCGCGGAGGAAGAAAGTGAGGGTTTGGCGCTCCAAACATCGCGACTTCCTTCTACCACGGACTCGGATGTGCACACCTTCTTCTCCTCCGCCATGGCGCAAACGAACCTCAGGAAGTCGAGAAGCTCAAAATCGGACGTGATCGCTACACACAAGGCAACAAAACTTCTCCAGTGAGAGAATTTTCCCGAGAAAATAGAAAAGAAAGCGCGAGAAAATAAGAATAAAGAGTTTGAAAAGGAACCTTGACGAAGCTTCAAAATTTAAACTGATGATTAGATTTTTGATTTTGAGTTATTTAAACGAAGAAAAGTTAGTTAGTTTGGTGCGGTTGTGTTGCGTGACTATTACCTGAGAGCGAAGGAAACTAATGCAGAAAACGATGGGACACGTGGCGGCGCCAGGAGAGTTGAGGGTCTTGAAAATTTTATTAAGAGGGGCAAAATTATGTGAACGGCACTGGGAACATCCTGCACTGATTTTACCAAGGAAGACATTAATGGGTTTTAGATAACGGTATCCATATTTTGGGGTTGCTTCCGTGGATCCAGCGATTTTGCGCTCAATTTGGGTTGCTTCCGAAAATATAAGGAAAGATAAAACAACTTATGTGATCATAGGAAGAAAGTTAAGAGCCACAGAGAGAACAGAATTAGGTACTAACATAATTGAGAAAGTTGTGTAGCCAACACAAGTCAACCAGAACCGTTTGATGTATGTTGTTTTATGAACGGTCATGATTCGTCACTTATTGGACACCAGCAGGTTTCTTATAAACTTGTATAAATTGCAAATTAGGCCAGCTATGAGTTTAATTTTGATATTGCGTCAATGTAAAGAGTTTTATTTTTTCAACTAAATTTATAATTGAGTCACAGTATAAATATCTCCTGATTTTACATAATAACATCATAGAATTTATCAATAAAAAATAGTTAGTTATATTTAAATTAAATTTATTTTATGCAGAAGCAGGTAAAAAATGTTCCGTGAAACTTGGAAGAGAGGCTTGCGAAAAGTAAGGAACATGCAGGATGGATGAATATATCCCTTCTGATGGTTGCGTATGCACTCTCTTGTTTAGTTGTTTACTCTACGGTAGCGCCAATTGGGTATATTTTCCTGTCGTTAATATGCGTTATTTGGGTGTGATTGTTTATAATGTACTCTTGTGCTTCTCCACCATTGATGTTGGAAGACCAAGTGTTGTTGGATTGAAGTTCAAAACTTGACTTGTGATGAATGGGCCAATACCTTATACATTGTTTACCCAGAACAAGCAGGAAGTTGCTTCCTTTAGAGGCTATGGTGTTTAATGCATTAATTTGGGTTTTAAGAGTCATGGGTTTTGTGATTCAACGAATTGCTTTAGGATTATCTTTCATATATTTGCTTTGACGGGATGCATTTTGGTACGGCAACGAGAAGCTTAAAAGTAACAACTTGAACACCAAGGCTAATTCCCTTGTTTTGTTTTGTACATGACATGTTCTTGGATTATTGTGCTTCATAATTGCTCTTCTCCTCACCGTCCACCCCTCCCTCTCAGAACAAATTTCTCCTCCCCAACGAAAAAAATGTTGTTTGTTTACAACTTACGTGGTAATGGGTTTTTTCTTTGTTTTTCTTCTAGATTTGAGGGAAATTTTTGACATGATAAGTTCGGAAAAAAAAAAAGTGAGTTGTGGATTGAGAAGTTGGCTTGCAATAATAAATAATAAATTTCGACTATGTTTTTCTTTCAAACATTGAGGTTAAAACTGCTTCGTTCTCTTTTTATTAATCTATTAGCACATACTTGGATGACATTTCTTCCTTAGCTAGAGGATTAATATGAAATTTTAATAAATTATTTATTTATTTTATATAAAATAATACATGGACTAAAAAAAATGAAAAACGTTATGAGCCTGCACTAACCGATTGATATAGGGTGTGGCCGGTACAAAGTTTATATATCCTGTGTACCGTATAGTCAACCAACAGAACAGAATGGGTGCATAGAAAATATATGCGGAAAGTGGAGGCTATGAGCAGAAAATGTGGAAATAATAATGATAATAAAAAAAAAACTAACAGTGCGCGTAAGTGTTGAATGGGTCAAAGATTTTACGAAGAAATTTACTAATAGATTAGCAAGTTTTCATACATTTGTAGCAGTATTTTTAAATTTAAGTAAAATTTAGGTGCTAGAGAATCTTTTGTCTTTTAATTAAATTTATCTCGCACTTGTAATTTATTGCGAATGAGGAATGAAATGAGTATTTATAGATTAATCCTTATATAAAAAAAACTATATTTTGATGATTTTATAAGAAAAAAAATCAATATATAATATTCATAGTTATTAAATGACATAGAACTCACATGATTGATGGATCATCCTTCTAAACACATCCACTTGCGTTAAGTTTTATTCAAGGTAAGATAGTCAATTTTATATTTGGATGAAAAATCAAATAAATTATTGTAAGTTTGAAATTTGTAGTACTTAAACAACTATCACAAAAATTTTATAAGTTCTATTAACATTCACGTTATATTAGACAACTAGTTATGGAAACTTCACAAAGTTGATAAAGATGATATTGTAAATCAAGTTATTAACGAAAAACAATAAGTATATACAACAAGAAAAATTGTATTTAGCAACTAACAAAATCGGTAGCTAAAATGTAATTTTATTATAAATTTATTTAGTCACTGAAATTGGTAGTTAATATATCAGTTGTAAATACATTTAGCGACCGAAAAAGTATTCAGTTGTAAAAATGTGAATTTAGCATCTGAAAAATTTTGGTCGCTATATTGTCACCACCTAGCTAGTCACTATTTTTGTTGCTAATTGTGACCACTTAATTCTGTTGTTAATTTCAACCTAAAATTTTGGTAGCTAATAGGGTTGCTAATTGGTTGTATTCTACTACCAATATTTTGGTAGCTAATTTGGTTGCAGTTTTGCATCTAACTTTTTCGGTTGCTATTTTGGTAGCTAAATTTCAACAAATATGTGGTGGCTAAATTGGTCGCTAAGTCAGTGGCTAAATATTATGGCTAATTATTTTAGATACTTTTACTTATACTTTTATTTTTATTTTTTTTCAAGAAGACCTATTTGTTTAATAAAACATGATTATATAAGACATAATATTTAGCAAAACCTGCTAATAGTCAAAAACTACAAACATGGTAAAAAATACATCTAAAGAAATAAAATAATTATACAATCCATAACAATACATGTTTCACTCCATAACAAAAGTATAACTCATTTTATAAGAAGGGAACAATCATTGACATAACAAATAGAAAAAAATGGAGCTTGTGCACTTGCCAACATGTCATAGAATTTTTTAGCATCTGGATTTGGATCTTCTTCAAAATTTTGATCTCCAACTACAGGTTGTTGTTCTATAACTTGACCAACTTTGGGACCAACATAATCCAAGATCATTTGCTCATACGGGTTGAAAATTCTTCCCTTCGCTCATTCATACCATAATATGATTCTTCCATCAAAGTAGATGAGGTTGGCAACATTCTCTCACCATGATTTGTCCAGTAGTAATAATTTCTCATGAATCCCTGATCATAAATATATACCATGACATCATCCACATAATGGAACCTTCTACATTGACATTTCTCCCACAAGGACACCTTAATTGTTGATACTTTTAGAAGCTTTGTTAAGTAGTTGCAAATTCAATAAATTCATTAACTCCTTCGACAAACTAGTGTCTCAAATGTCTATTATGATCCAACCTAGTCTCCATCCATCTTCGATTCTCAGGAATTTCCATTACTGCTAACTATAACAAATGAAAAATAGAGTTTGTAATAACACCTTATTGAGCATTGCTCCCCACTAACAAACAATGATTTAATACATCAAAGACATGCATAATCATAAATTATTCAACATACAACCAGCATCCTGCATTAAGTCAAGCAAAATCACACTCTATTGAGCATTGCTCTCCACTAACAAATAATGTTGTAGCTTAATACTTGAACCTTATGCTTTGTCTGCGTAATGTTAAAACTCTTCTAAAGGTCTTTGTCCGTTGCCTCTTATTAATCTCTTTAATTTATGCATGTTAAAGGTAAACAAACAGCCAGTTCTGTAGAAATCATAATGTTAGACACTCACAGGCATTAGGGGGAAAAAGATAATTGCAAATTATTATTCTACCGTGGAAGCCCTAATATGAAAAAGAAAGATGATGGTTTGTTTGGTTTCAATGAAGGTTGCCTTCCCCAAAAGAGATAGGATGAAGTAAATGAGTTTGTCAACAAAACTCAGTACTTAACATCCTTTTTCCTAATGTGACTATGCATGTATTGTAACTATGTTAGCAACTATAATCTCACGTTCTCTTTACTTTTTCACTTCTGCAGTGTGAAATTCACTTTGGGTTGAATGTGCTCATAGGAAAGAAAATTCCAAGGAAGACAAGTTGAATTGGGTGGAAAACTGGAACCCAAAAAATGCCATAAGTCTAATGAAGTACACCATTTCAAAAGGGTACAAAATAGATGTTAAAATTTTCTTTAATCCATTATGTAATTTTTATTATGCAATGACTATTATGAAATTACCTTTTCCCTTTGAGACCTTGAATTACGCCGCTCTCACAACACAATATATGGTTCTCATACAATTAAGGATTTAGAGAGCACTAACCTGAATCCATTGTTCCTTAATGTTACCTCTCTCTTTGATGTCGTTGATTCCTTGATATTTTTCCCAATTCTTCCTTCCTTTTTCAGCTCCTCGGATGGTTGAAAGAAAGTTCCTTTATGCGTTTACCATGAGCTCACTCAGAAATTGTGAAAGTGAAAAATAGGGAATGTCGTAACCCTCATTTGGTAATCGCTCTTTAATTTATATAAAGGGAGAGGGGAGGGTTTCCTTATAATTGTATTTACAATTATACCCGCAATGACTCTATATTTTATATTTAACCACCATCACATTAAATCATTAATTAGAATAATGCTATAAGTTACATAGGTCACTATAATAAGATTATTAAAATAATCTAACAATAGATTCATATGAACTAGGTAACTAAAATTTTTTATATTTAAGTTTTGAATTACATACCCATACGCTTTTCATTTTCTCTCATGCATTATGGTTTATGATGTTTAATCTAATGCTTATCAGGGAATGAGCTATGCTCTGGTGGGGTAGGTGCTAGAGTAGACAGTGTTCAGTATGCTAAAGATATTAATAAGCTTAGACGTATAGTTAATCATTTGTACCCAAATGCCACTACCTATGAAGAAGGTGCTAGGCCCTACTGGTTTCTATGGAAAGGAATGGTTTGATAGCTTTTTCTAGAATGTAGGACCTAGTGTGGTTGATGAAGTAACTCATCACATTTATAACCTTGGTGCTGGTATGGTTCATATCAGAAAGAACAATGCACACATTGAAAAAATAACACTAAAGTA